GAATGCACTCAAGGGAACCTCACAAGAACAACTGCGGGGCGGCCAGGCCTCCGCTGGCCAGTGCAGGGGGCCTGAGGAGAGGGGACCAGGTGGGAAGGACTCGCCGAAGGGCCCCAAGTAGGAAAAGGGGGGACGCGGGTCACAGGCCCAAAGGGGACAGGACTAGCGATGATCACCGGAAACGGATGTGGATCCAGGACCGCCACGGAGGGACACAGCGACGCAGGGAAGACGCGGTGGACGGAGAGTGGGCATTTTAACGTTGGCAGGGACCCCCGGGCCCGGGAGAGGAAGAGCAGCCCTGCAGCGGGCGTGACCCGCGGGTTCAAGACTCAAACTCACTCACCCTCACGGGAAACCTCTGATGCTCCTCCTCGGTGTCGACAGGAAATGGCGTCACTTGGCGGTGTGGGAGAGGCGGGGCGTAGACCGGAAGGGCGTTGCCTGTCCAGCAGGCTGTGCACGAGGGCAGGGGTGGGGCCTCGTGTTGTGAGAGGCGGGCCTTAAGTCTCCCTCAGTCCCAACTCAGCTTTCCTCCTAGAGTTCTTCCTTTTGATCCAACTGTAAGTCTTTGGTATGTAGAGATTAGAGCTGCTTCCTACCTAGTTAAAGTGCAAGCTTGAAACAATTTCAGACCCTCTGCGCTACAGAACCAAACACGGCCCGATCCTGGGCCAACCTCACTACTGTTGCCACGCTTGAGCCCATTGAGCTGCCACTTGGCCAGTCCATCTCGCTGGGGGTCTTTCTCTTTTTCTCTGACCCTCTACCTTACCAAACATGATAACCTTCTCCAGAGACTGTTCCCTCTTGACAATATGTCCGAAGTATGAGAGACGAAGGTTGGCCATCCTGGCCTCCAAGGAGCAGTCTGGCTGTACTTCTGCCAACACAGATCTGTTGGTTATATGGGCAGCCCATGGCACTTTCAGTATTTTCTAACACCATAATTTAAAAGCATCAGTTCTTCTACAGTCTTCCTTATTCACTGTCCAGCTTTCGCATGCATATGAGGTTACTGAAAATACCTGACTTGGGTCAGGCGCACTTAAGTCTTCATGCTGACATCTTTCCTCCTTAACACTTTAAAAAGGTCTTGTGCGGCAGATTTGCCTAATGTAATATAAGAGTTGTGTAGGCCACATCTATTGACAGCTGAGATGTTTTCATCCTTGGAAATCGAAAACGGCTTAAATAGGATTTATTTTTCAAGCACGTGGAGACTGCGGAGTTACACATTGAGGTTGATAGTTCAAACCACCAGCCCCTCAGGGGGAGAAAGGTGACGCTGTCTGCTCCAGTAAATATTAACATTCTCAGAAATCTTGTCTAGGGTTCCTGAGTCAGTATGGGCTCGCTGGCAGTGGGTTGGTGAAGATGAGCCACTCACTTCTTAGTTCCCTATTCTCTTGTAAATCACTGTTTCAATGTCATCTCTATAACCCTAATAGGAAGCCAAGGTAACAAATCAGATAAGTCTTTGGGAATCATTTGTAAATATTGTAGCAGGAAAATTACCAGGAGTCCCCTGTAAGAGTAGGCCTTTTTTCATTGTATTTATCATGTTCTGGGTTAGGGGAATATTATGTACACGAACATTCAGGTCATCATAAAGCTAATCCTGCCTGGTTCTCACACAAATTACATCAGTCATTTTATTTGGGATGTTCTATTTAACATTTGGAGAGTTGGTGTGACACTGTAGTTAGGATAAGCACTGGACAACCAACCAGAAGGTTAGCAGTTCAAAACCAACAAGTGTTCCTCAGAAACCTGACAGAGGGTCACTATGAGTTGGAACCAACTCACAGGCACTTCATATTGTTGTTGTTGTTAGATGCCATCGAGTCAGTACCGACTCACAGCGATCTTATGCATAACAGAACGAAACACTGCCCGATAATGGGCCAACCTCACTACTGTAGCCACACTTCAGTTCATAGATGCTGCCACTTGGCCAATCCATCTCATTGGAGGTCTTCTTTTTTTTCTCCACCCTACCAAACATGATGTCCTTCTCCAGTGACTGTTCCCTCCTGACAATATGTCCAAAATATGAGAGACAAAGGTTGGCCATCCTGGTCTGCAAGAAGCACTCTGACTGAAATTCTTCCAACACAGATCTGTTGGTTCTTTTGGCAGCAGGGCGCCTTCAATACTCTCCTCCAACACCATAACTCAAAAGCATCAATTCTTTTATGGTTATCCTTATTCTCTGTCCAGTTTTTGCATGAATATGAGGTTACTGAAGAGCCCCCTAGTTCCCTGAAATAAAGCTAAATGTCCTATAATAGAAGAGCTTATAATAATGCCAAAAATCAAACCCAGTCTTTCTGTAACAGTGGCTGAATTACGACACCAGCTAAACTCCCAAACTGGAATTGTGTCTGACGCTAATGTAAGGGCAATGATCGGGAAGAAATGGGGACCTGAAACATGGCATGGGGCATTTGGGCAGATAATTGGGAAGCTGGAGACAGTCTATAAATTCCATTGAATCTCTATTGCCAACAGCTTCACTTCTCCCATCTGAAGAGATTACTCCATTCTCAGTGAAAAATATCTTCATTCCCTACTCTAAATTAGATTAACTCCACTGTGTCTGCTTAGATGATGCTTGAGGCATTTTTGGGGCATCACCTAAGGTAGATGGCTTCAAAGACACTGCAGAATATTTCCTGGAAACACCTCCACCCATTATGGCTTCTAGACTTATAACTAGGCTTAAATTCCACCGAACCAAAGGTGAAGTACAGTTTATGACATAGGAAGAAGTACTTGATTTTTCTAATATGTATAAACTGAAACCAGGAGAATATGTGTGGGAATTATT